TTGCAAATCTGACACGTATACATTTTTGTAGAGTATTTACCATGTCACAAATTTGTCAACATTGCACCCTATTTCTACGCATATCTTTGGAATCTGACATGTAGTTGAGTAAACTAGTAGTCTATATAGAAATTTGTGACGTAATTTTAACGTGGTAAAGAATTGTGACGTGAATATCACGTGGAAAATGTATGGTGTAATTTTCACGTGGCAATTTAGTTACTATGTGTGCTTCTGCCGCGTGTTTACTCATGTCGCTAATTAATGGTTTGTGACGTGATATTGTTGTTTGTGGCGTGAAAATCATATGGATAATGGGTATTTTTATAGTGAATAGATTCAGAGTCAGGTACAAGTTGTGGTTGGAATGAGAAAGAAGCAGACTCGAGACTAGACATAGCATATGACTAGGAAAAGTTAGCAGTACTAGTAGGGATGTTATGTGTCAAGTTGTTATCAAGAATTTTTCTATGATTTTAATTAGAATTGGTCTTATCTCATTGAGATTTAATGGGTGAGAGACTATCAGGCACCATTTGTGTGGTAGACTAAGTTACCATGGGTGTGGTTGCAAATGACCTGTTGTGATTAGTTGACTTTAGAATATTGACAAGATAAGGAGCATGTTTAGGACTACATAAAGATTTATGTTTACATGTTTTATTGGTTTGAAATAAACTTAGAAAGGGAAAGTTGTGTTCATTGAACATAAAATCTTTGGATGTAAAAACTTTACTTGTCTTATTGAGGCAATTGAATCCTTTATCCTGAGAGGACACCCCAATATAGACACACTATTAGATTTGATACTCAAGTGTGTATTTATCGTAAGGTCTTGTAAAGAGGAAGCCGAAATAACAAGCCTTTTAATAGATTTATAGGTAGTCAATTTGTGGTACAAAACATGAAATGGAGAATTAAAGTTTACTAAACCAATAGTTGGGAGCCTATTGATTATGTGAACTATGGTGGAAAAGATAATATCCCATAACTATATTAGTATGGATGAGTGGGATAGCATGGTTAACCCCATTTTAACAATATGCACATATTTTATTTTAATAGTCCCATTATGGTTAGAAGCATGAGGACATGTTAGTCTATGTGAAATACCTAGTTCAAATAGATATTTTATGAAGGGTCTAGATTCTCCATAATAATTTAATTTTACGACTTTTATTACGGTTTAAAACTTATTTTTGACAAATGCAAGAAACTGTTTGAAAGCATGAAAGGCTTGTGACTTCTGTTTCAAGAAATACATCAATGTATATTTGGTGTAGGCGTCTAAAAAAGTAATATAGTAATGAAATCCAAAGCTATGTGGTGAGGTGAGGGACCCCATAGGTCATTATAGACAACCTCAAATTCAGTGATATACGTGGATCTCTGTACTTGCAGGTATAAAATTGATGATCTTGTTGATAACCTTCCTAAGCGTTTTGATGACGAAAATGCTACTAATTGCTAAAGTTGGTGGTAATACCTTTCAACTCTTTGATGATTGTTATTAACTTGAATAAATTTCAAGCCTCATCAAGTAGGAGACTTAAGTTTCATTAAAGTGCTAGAAAAGGAACTGGAAAGCCTCGAAATTATGAAAGAGATTCAGTGTGAAAGTTCGTCTCGTCGTATCTATCTGAGTGACCAGAGTCTTGTGAAAGAGGGATAGTAATTCCTAAGATACTAAGGTAACTCACAATCACTTAAAACTATTTTAAAACCTTATTTTACCTAAACAAAATATCTAAAAAATTTAAGTCCTAACTAGTTGATTAGGAGACTGACAACTTCATTAGAACAATTTCTTGAACTGCCTGATCGGTTAGATCCTAAGACTATTAGAAGAAGCAAAATCAATTATACAATTAAATATGATAATGTATTAATTATTGGTAACGAATCTCTATCCAAAATTTCCGAATAGGGCTAAAATAATCAATTATTTAAGGCACTTAATTGATTAGACTTGAGACCTAATTGATTAGATGAGTTAATTGGCCCGTGGATTATTTTCATTTTGAGCAAATTATTCTCTTTTATAAAGAAGGAGCCTTTCCTCATAATTTCACACCAAAATTCAAGATTTCTCTAATTCTTATTTACTTCTCTCTCTCTCTCTCTCTCTCTCTCTCTCTCTCTCTCTCTCTCTCTCTCTCTCTCTCTCTAAATATTTTCTTTTCATCAAAGTTGTCTTAGTGCCTTGTGAGTGAAAACTGCTTGTAGGGAAATAGTTGTGTGTTGTTCCTTTGTTGATACTTTAATGAGTGTGATACTCGAAGAATATAGCTTGATTTTTTATATTAACTAGTCTTAAAATATTTGTTTAGTTCTAGAACTTAGCTGGGAAAAGTTCAATTTGGTTATTTAGATCAGCTTGTAAAATCTCTAATTGGTCGGTTAGCTCAGCCCATGGAAAAGCTTTTTTTGTTAGGGACAAGTCATTGTAAAATCTCTATATCTTGTATCAATGATATGTGGTCATAACTTGTAAAAGCTCTATATTATAGTCTAATGTCAAAAATATCTCTTAGGGACAGAAGTAGACCAATATTTATCCAAACTTAGATAACTCTCTCGTTTCATATTTTTATCCCTTATCTCTTATTTTCTGTTATTTATTTTACTGCTTTTAATTTCTCTTTCCGTTGATTTTTATTTTGATCTTAAAAATACTGACATTGTTTACTTCTTAAGTAACAAAAAAAAACTTGAAATTAATCACAAATTTTGATCAACATAAGATTTCTAGGCATGTAAAAGGTGAGGATAAGGTGTATGATGATGAGAAGCACCTGAATCAAAAAACCAAGCTTAACCTTCAAGCTCTGTTGATAATAAATATTTTTATGTTGTAGCCGTCATGGTTATTACCTGAGAGTCAAAAGTGGATGATTCATGCTTGTCACTTGTTTCATCTTGATTTTCTAATTAATTTGATTGACCACACAAGAGAACAAAGAACTTATTAAATCTATGTTAACAATCAGCAATTGCATGATCATATCTCCCACATATTTGGCACGTTAGACGATTACCAGTCGAAATGCTTCCTCTATCATGAATGCTTTTATGATATCTTTGAATCTCTACCACGAGTACTAGAAAAATTATCACGTGAACCATTTGTTTGTTGATTTGTGTGAATGACATTTGTAGTGATATTTGATATCGATAGCTCTAGCCGAAATTTGTCCAATTGAGTTTCTTGAACATAGAGAAAAGCTTCAACATCATAAAGTGTTGGTAACTTTGAACTCCTATACATTTTCATTACAAGGAAATTGTATTCCTCTTATTGAAATTGAGTCAATTTGATCTTGCTCTGAGATGGAATCACCAACCGCAAGTAAGGAGTTGGAAAGACTTTGATTCACAACACATGTTTAGTACTGGGTCTCTTATCATTATTCATTGATTTCAACTTAACTCTGTCTGATTCTTACCTTTATTTGTGCGTTGAATTATCTATGAATCTTGTCTCATACTGATTCAAAAATCGGTGAGATGAGTCATATAAACATAACTTGACTCTGCATTATCCAAGATTCATAATCTTCAGACATTTTTCCTTCGAGTCAATCTTGATCCATCTTGAATTTCGGTGGAATTTGAAGATTCACCGCCATTTTATGCATTTCATGATTAAGAATTACTCTCTTGACATGTTGGTTCCATAAAAATTAAGTTTTTCCTTGTAACTTGATGGAATACTTTGGACCTAATTTTGACTCGAGTTCAAATCGAAAACACTAAAGGAAGCTCATTGCGAGGTTGGAACAATGTTTTTCCTTGTTACTTGATGGAATACTTTGGACCTAAGTTTTGACTCGAGTTCAAATCGAAAACACTAAAGGAAGTTCGTTGCGAGGTTGGAACGATGTTTTTCCTTGTAACTTGATGGAATACTTTAGACCTGTGTTTTGACTCGAGTTCAAATTGAAAAGGCTAAAAAGGAAGTTCATTGCGATGTTGGAACGATGATGGTGAGAGTTGCAGCTTTTGCAGGCTTTGTTATGGTTGAGAGTTAGGTGGGATAGCAAGGAAGAAGATGAAAAAGAGGTTCTTGAATTTTGTAAGGAACGAGTAACTAAAAGTTAGTTACACTTAATAGTTTGTTAGGTTAAATATATTTTTAGTCCTCCTACATATCTTGTATTTAATTTTTAGTCTCTCCAAAATTTTCCTTTAAAGAATGGTCGTCTAAAAAATTTTAGTTTTAATTTTTGATCTCTTTTATAATTTAGCAATGATTTTTACAACTTAGTAACAGATTTAACGACAATTTTTTATATAGCAACTAAATTAGCAATCATTTTAGTGACCGTTTTGACATAAAGGATCAAAAGTTAAAATTAAAATTATTAAGAGAAACATTCTTTTGAAGAAAAGTTTTAAAGGGACTAAAAATAAATATGAAATATTTAAAATGACCAAAACCATAATTAACACTAATTTATTATAACGGTGGTAAATCTAACTAGGTGAATGATAACATAACGAGTTCAATGGAAGCTTTGATCAAATGTTTAGAATAGCTATGGTGCTATACTTATACTAGTGTACATGATGCTAGCATTCATGCTGCTAAGACCAACGCTAATGTACATGATGCTAGCATAAGGTAAAACACATTGGTTAGTCAAACATAACAGTGTCCCGATTAATCTTGTAAATATTGTGGAGTCATACATTAAGGAATTAGTGCCAACCTATTTTTTTGACAGCTCTAATCATGTGAATCCAGCTCTAATCATGTGAATCCACTTATTCATCCATTCAATTTAAAAATTGCACACCTTGTACCAAGCATTTAATTTTCATATGCTAAATAAATACTCCTATTACAGAAATTTTCAAATCAAACAACAATATAACTGTAAATAAAGTAACATTTCCAATTGAAACCTAAAATAAACTAAGCTGCAGTTATAACTGCATTATGCAAACAAAAGATAATCATAGAGAACATTTTAGTAATACTTTCATCATTAATTGCACTACTGCTGAGCACACTGTACTCGAGGCTCTGAGGGCTCGTCTTCATCATCATCATCATATGCCTCACGGTGGTAATGTTGTTTCTTTCGAAGCACCTCTGCAATATCAACATCATGCATGGTGGTCTCTTCACAATCATCTAGTTCCTTTTCTGCCAACTTCTTGCTTGTCTTTTGAGGTAATATCTTCCCTAATTCTAGGCTTTGACTAGGGGAAAGAAAACCTGATTCGGGGAATTCAACATTAAACTTGATGTATAGGCGTCCCCTCATGAAGGGCCTATTGTGTTGTGGCATTCCCTCGTCATTAATAGCTTTGTGTTGACCTACCAAGTAACATTAAAATACATAATTTCAGAAAATGACATAATGATTGAACTGCGCTCTAATGAAATATACTCCAAAAAAAATATAAAGTACCTGGCTTGATGACTTCTCCGGGATTTGATTTGACCAAGAGTTGCCTTCCATCAAGATGTGTGACAGTAAATTGGAAGCCACAGAGAGCCTCAGTTAAGCTCAGATTGTGATCAATATAGAGGTCATCATGCTCCCTCTTGAACTTTGGATGCCCTTTCACTTGCAAGACAAAAACTATGTCTCCGGTGATTGTGTCCGGCTGTAGCATGTACAATTAAATATCAATTTCAACATGACAAACAACCATGAAGAAGACTAAAATAATCAACTCCTTGCCCATTTTTACTAAGTATTAAAATAGTAATAGTACACTAAATTATAAACCATAATGCCTAGCACAAAAAAGTTTTAAAACAAATTACTTACGGCTTCATCAGCTTGTCCTTCAAATACAATCTTTTGACCCTGCTGCATCCCCTTTTCCACATGCACCTCCAGCACCTTCTTTTCTTGAGTTATCTTGTTTGCCTTGCATTGAGGACATCTATCTCTCTCACTAATGACCTCACCTGAAACAACAATGCATGAGCTGGGCAAAACAGCACAGAAACAACCAAACAAATATGGAAAATGAAATTTCCATTACCAGTTCCTTTGCAGTCACCACAGACGTGTTGCATTTGTTGAATCATGCCCAGACCAATCTGCCTTCTGGTAATCTTCATACCAGTGCCCTGGCATCCAAAACACCTTCCAGCTGTGCCACTTTTTGAACCCTTCCTGATATGCCGAAAATTGCAAGCAAACTACTATTATTATTGATTAGTTGTCAACTTTTAACAACAAAAAATTCAAATAATAATTATGCAAAACATGAAGTAACCAAGCAATTGAAGGCACAGGTTAAATGAGAAGCCAAGTTATTTAAAATATACACATTTTCTAATTGACCAACACAATTTTTAGAGTTGTTGTCTTATTACAATATGAGGTTGATGCACATATACTTTTTAAGAAAACTTGTTCGCATTCTTTTTTGAAACTACACCTTTAACACCAGTTCGGTCCTCAGTTGGGGGTTTCACACACCGTCACAGCAAAATGAATATTGAATGTGATAATTTCTATTAAAAAAATATCAAACTCATAGATTTCGATGAAGGGTGAGAATATATTCACAGAGCTGCCAAATCTGAACATGCATATCCTAAAACTGAAGAACTTAGAACAGTGAAAAGCACAAATGCATTCTGGAGCAGTATGTGGCTTGGTTGTTAAAACTTTTTCAAAAAGAATCTGAAGTACAGAACATATAATTACAGATAAGTTCCATACCCTTTACATTTTACGCACAACACATTCCTAGAAAGAGATAGTTTCTTTGTAGTGCCATTAAACACATCCTCCAAGGAAACCTTTAAAGAATGCACCACATCTTCTCCTTGCTTCTGTCTTCTTCCCCGTGAAGGACCACCGCCTGAGAAAATAGTAATAGTGAAATGATTGATATTGCAAGAATGAAAGATGATTTACAAGTGAGAATAAAATAACATGAATATAAAAGTGAGAGTCTCACCACCAAAGCCAGCTCCACCAAAAAATGATTCGAATAAATCAAATGGATTATGAAACGAACTTCCTCCTCCTCCCATTCCTTCTTTCAAGGCATCTTCACCATATTGATCATAGAGTTCTTTCTTTTCAGGATCACTTAACACTTCATATGCTTGGCCCAATTCCTTGAACTGATATAGAAATAAGACAATTGGGTTGAAACAGAAAAAAATGCAAGGCCAGCAACAAAAGTCAAGTTGAGCTATTTTTCGAATACAAAAGTTTGCGTAAAAACTTCAAACTTGAATAGCTTGTTTCATATAAATGAAAAGTCACAAAGAAAAACAAGCACGTTCAAGGAGCAGCCAAAGTTGCAGATGGGAGGGATACAGTGTTAGTCTATTTCGGGTTCCATGGGTTTATGAACGTACGAGAAGCAAGAGAGAGAAACTACAGATTAACTCCCTCAGTCTTTTAAGGATACCCAAAATGTCCAAAACAAGGCTATAAGTGGATGGCATTTTTGTTTTTACTTTTTCAACACTTCATTCAAGTTATGGTTGGGAGAGCATTACAATGCTACATCAATATGCAAGGCACAATGGTGGCCACTACAGCCGCAATTTATCTCCTACACTATATTCTAACTAGATGAAAGAGTTAACAGAAAAGTAACCAATACATAATGTGTATAATTAAATTATAAAGTCAGACTACAACCAAACAAGGACCATAATAGTAGAGCGGGGTATTAACACTGCATGGTATAATGAAGATGAAACAAAGTAGCAGCAACCATGAGGCTTACCTTCTCAGGATCTCCACCCTTATCGGGATGATTCTTCATCGCCGCCTTTCTATAGGCTTTCTTGATTTCATCTTCACTGGCACTTTTTGAAACACCAAGAATGTCATAATATTTGGTGTTATCACTCTTCCTTGTTGGTCCACGCCCAAACATGACTAATGCACCTTAAAAAGAAAACTACATGAACAAAAAAAATTAAAAATTTTCAAATAAAATAGGAAAACACAACTATAAAAAAAACAACTTAAATAATTCAACAATAAAAATATTCATAATGGGAGTGCTTCCACTCTACTGCAAGCACAAAACATCACTTAACTTCCTTTGCACAGTACAAAGATTATGAGAATCTATCACAACAACTGCTAACCATATCAAACTTAAGAAACAAAACAGATACATAGAAATCCATGGACACCCCACAACCATACAGTCTTACCAGCTCAAATCATGCACAATATACTACATGAAAACAATTTTCATACAAAACAAATCCAACATGTTACATTCAAGATCATCATAGGTGCAATGCAAATAAGACTACAAAAAACCTTCAACCAGCGGTTAAGTGATAATTCCTATTCCTTACCCCAGACACAAAGATTACAACTTTTGATACAATTTTAAATTTTGTATCTAAAATTCCATATAAAAAAGAAAACTAGAAATCAAGCATTATCAAAAACCAATATCGAAAAAGAAAGAAAACTTAAACCAACCAAAGAAAAATAGCATCTAGCATAAGCTGAAAACCCTAATAAATTGATCGAAACCCTAACGCAGCAATTGAAGAGAAAACAAACATCAGAAAGCGGAGAAAATTAATAATCGATGATAAATTTGGGATCTAAGGTACTCGGGGATTGAAAAACCTAATTCAATCGGTAAATCGGATGAGAACAGATCTAAACCCTAGAAATCAAAGAGAGAGAGCATACCAAGGGGATTTTCGTTGGTTGGTGGTGTTGTTCTTCTTCTTCTTCAAGGGAGAAAACGAAACCCTCGAAGAGTGAAAAAGAGAAAAGAAAAAAACAGTGAGAGTGAATTGGTTTTTGTAAGTAGCCAAATTGCTAATTGCACTCCCCCGCTAAATATAATAACCAATCAGACATATTGTGTGCTACAAAGCAGTAACAAGAATCCTTAAACATGGATAATTGATAGAGCATGACAACCATGATAGATAGGAGGCATGGATAAATATGTTTTTCTCTTTATAAATATTTTAAATTTTATTTTTAGTTTTTATAAAATGATAATATATTTTTTTTCTACAAAAATTTTATGCATGCACTAATCACTAATTAGTTTAATGGTGAATGATGTTGGATTTGATAGATACGACCACGATTCAATTCTTTGAAAAAATTGTGATTGAAAGGAGGTGGGAATCATTTGATGCCAAAACTGACTCGGAAAAAAAAATTACACATACAGTTTTAATTTCTATTATTTTTTAAAATTTTTGTTCTGGATTGGGCCCGGTTGGCCCAATAGCAACGATAAAGGCCCAATCCAATCGGACTTGCTAAGGGTCACGCCGACCTAAGGACCATAGCTATGCCCGACACACGTCACTGGGCGACACCCCCGTCCTCGTATTGTCCAGCTCGACATCAGCTCGAGCGCTCCTTCGCCAGTGGACACGACCCATTGCACCCTCAACGGGACTCTGAAAAGACCTCGTCTCTGTCCGCCCGCACTTCACGCAGAACATCCAGGGAGGGGACCACGTGCATGTCCCCACTACGCACGTAGAACCTGGCAGTTCCTCCATTGGGCTAATCCTGCCCGGCCCAATGAAGGAACTTTGGCCCAGCGCTGGGGGCTATAAATACCCTCTGTTTCCAGAGGGTCAGGTATTCAATCTATCACATATACTCACACTTTTGCCTGCTCGTACTCTTACTTACTTCAGCATCAGAGTGCCTTGCAGGTACCCCCCCCCCACCTCGTTCAAAACTTCAGCTCGGAGCCAGCCGTGACGGTCCAAGTCTGATCAGGTCAGATGAGTGGCGTCGTCTGTGGGAAACTAGCTTCCCCGTCTTGCAAACTCAAAGACCAAAGCTCAAATTCAACTACCTGTCATGGCTGATCAAGCTCGCGATGAACAGAACGTCCGTGTCGTCGACACTAATAACGGTGCCGCGGACAAAAATGGACACCTTGATAATGCCGACAACCCCGGCCACAACACCATTCCTGCGACAACCGCCCCTGGAACTTCCTCCTACAGGGACGGAGCTACTGCATCATCCTCCTCGCTCCCACCACCACTCGAAGACGACCCGGCGGCCCTCGCGCACTACAGAGCCGCCCGGTTCCAGGAAGTCCTCGTCCCCTCTGGGGCGGATGCCACAACACAAGCGCTGTTCGCAGTAATTAATCAAACGAACTATCTCATCTTCGCCCAAGGAGAGAGACTAAAGGCGCTTGAAGACGAGCGAAGACCCCCGAGGAGGCATCGGAGACCACATTCCCCCCTCCTCGAGTGACTGAAGCTCGACATCCATCTCCCCCGCGGAGACATTACAGGGAGACCTCTCGAAGCCCATCTCCCCGACCAAAATAGAAACGACCTTATCTGGAGAGGCAACTCGTCATTCAGGCCGGAGAACCCAGTCGTGACCCGGCGATACTAGAAAGAAGGCACTCCGGAGACGGACGTGTAAAATTCAACCACCGAGCATCCCACTCGAGAGAGACTCAGCACGACCTGGACCGTCGTGCCAGACAGTATTATAGGTCCCCATCTTTATCTCCGGAGAGAAGCGACGAGGACGACCCCCGCGGTCCCCTGTCACAGGCTATTATGGAGGCACCCATCCCCCCGGGCATGGAGAAGCCCCCTCACTTAAAGGAGTACGATGGAGTCGCGGACCCAGTCGACCATATAGACGGGTTCGAGGCCATGCTCCATTATCACAACGTCGGGGGGCCCATCAAGTGCCGTCTATTCCCCACGACTCTCCGGAAGGCGACAATGGACTGGTACAAAGGACTCGCCCCGAGCTCAATCACCTCGTGGCGGAACCTGAAGAACCAGTTCATCAGTTCCTTCACAGCTTCTCGGCGGCACCCGAAGACCGAGGCGGCTCTCGAGGCCATCATCCAAAGACAGGATGAGACCTTGAGGGAATTCATCAACCGTTTCAACCGGGAAGCAATACAGGTCCCCTGTGCGGACCATATGAAAAGATATTTGCTGGAGAGAGGGCTCCTCCCCGGCACGGAGTTCATAAAGGTTGTGGGTATCGAGCCACCTCGGACATTCGATGCCCTCCTCGAAAAAGCCCGAGCATACATGGACTACGAGAAGAGGGAAGCGGCCAACAGAGCCCGAGATTCCAGGACTCGTGGTCCCAACAGCAGCTCGCGCCAAGAAGCTCCTCCTCGACGAACCGGGGAGAAAAGGAAGGAAGACAGACCCCGGGAAGTCCGGGAACAAAGAGGACCTTCGGGGCGTTTCACCGAGTACACTCCGCTCACAGCTTCCCGCGAGCGCATTTTGGCGGAGTGTGCCAGCACTGATTTCAAGGACGGCGGTGTCAAACGTCCCCGACCTGCTCCCGCCAAGCCCGGAGCAGACAAAAACAAATATTGTCAGTACCATAGGAGCCATGGTCACCTGACTGAGGATTGCATCCACCTTAAGGACGCCATTGAAACCCTCATCAAGGGAGGGAGGCTCGCGCAGTACCGGAGAAACGACGCTCCCCGTCGTGACGCCCAAGAAACCAGGGAGCCAGAAGAAGACGCCCGACCATCTGACGAGTCGGTGCCCATCCAAACTGCCTTCTCCGTGACCAGGCCCGAGGATTTCGACTTCCCCGAGCACCTGCAAGAGCCACTTACAACGCACAGCAGGTGGGAATACTTCCCCTCCGCCCTGGTCATCAACGACGGCGGGTTCAACGACTTGACCATCAATTCAGCCAAGAGGAAGCTGGACGAACTGGTCTACGCGGCTCCCCCGTAAACAATGACGTTCGAAAGGGTGAAGGGCAGGTCAGAGCCCATCACCTTCTACCTGGAAGAACTCCCCGGCGGAGCCCCGAACGCGGTCATCCTGTGATCGGTGGATCTGGAACTGACTGTTTAACGCTGGTTCGCGAAATGTCGCGGAAGCAAGAGTCGCCACCGTCTTTTATTTTCTCCAACATGGACAAGACAAAAGCACAGCAAAATTCCTTATGAGATAGTTTCTCGGTTCGGGAGGTAGATTTATAGAAAGGGAAGGTGTTAACACCCTTTCTATCCATGGTTATCCATGGGCTCTTAGATACTTGCTCATTTGTGTTTTCAATATTGTTTGCTTTTCAAGTGTGTGTGGGTTTGAAAAAAAAAGTTTCGTTGAAAGTTTTCTGAATAACTCTTGTATCAGTCCTCAAGAGTGTTTGAAAAAATTGTTTTGAAAGCTTTTTGAAAAGTGTCGGTGTGAAAAGAGTTTTTGATTTGTTTTTGAATAGAGCAAGTATCTATGAGTCATCTACCTACCCTAAGGAATTAGGCTGTGTAAATGTCCTTAAGGTAATGCCATCCCACCATTGAGAGGTAGGTAGCACCACCGTTGGAGGTGTTCGGGTCAATTCGTTTGTAGGGACAGTGTGGTCACCAGAGCAATAGTAGGACACCTTAGAAGCTACCCTTATGCCATTGATCCTTTTTAATTCTGAGGCAACCGTTTCGAGGCAACTGGATCATGTCATGGACATAAGGACTTACTAAAACGTCCTATACCCGACGACCACGTTTCGAAGGTAAGGCAACAGTGAGGCGTACCCTAAGAGTGGTGTGTGAATTTGTGTATTATTTTCATGTTATGTTTTATCTTGTATCATGGCACGGTGAGCTACGCTTGTTTTTAATTAGCATGCATTCTTTCATACAAGTTAACAGTTAAAGGGGGCGCGGAAAGTAAATTGCGGAAACGTAAATCCTACGCTATTACAAGGCGCGGATTTATACATCGCCAAAAATTATAAAGACCCGTTTTAGTAAATGAATACGGAAAGTAAATGAAAACAGTAAAAGTCCTATTTACTATTACAAGGCTTGAGCAATTACATAATACTTGAAAGAAAATAAATGTGCGCGAATAAATTAATCGGGAATGTCTAAGGGTGTTGACCCTTTTAAGAAAAGGAAATTAA